TTTCTGTTTGCTTTTTTCCCCTGTTCATTGTCTTTAAGTTTAACCTGCTACCCAACAGTAGTTTAAAGAATAGTATTTATCTACCTGCAGTCTATTACTGACCAGTTCTTTTTCCTCTCCTTGTTCTTGTAACTGTTTCATCATCTGAATTCTGCTCTGACAGCTGAAAGGTGTCACTGTGGAGTCTTCAAACAGTTGTGGGCGGGGATGTCATTGACTTGATCCATAAGGAATCCAACTGTCACCTCTACCCAATTCCTTAATGAGTTGCCTATTTTCTATTCCATGGCTTTTCATGTTGATCTGCAGATAGCAGCAAATCCATTGTAGAATAGAATTTAAAAAACCCTCTTTTGCCCCTCCAGCAGTGTTACCCCCGTCCTTTCTTTAAGTTTGTTCCCTGGCTTCCCTCCTAGTTCCACATCCTATTCCTTATTCATTGTGCATAATCCTGTGTCTGCAGCCATTTTATTTCCTCTGTTACTTCTCTTTTTTTTTTTTTTAAGGTTGGTGGCAGAGATTCAAAACTGCAAATGTAACAAATAAGGTTCAGCCTTTATCTTTCCTTCTCTTTCCCCCCCCTTCCTCTTTTTTCAAATATGATCATTTTCTTGAGCTGCACCCCATGAGCTCTTCCTTACTTAATCAAATTCCTCCTGAAGTCTTAACCACTGTAACTGCATGTGGCTGAGTGTTTGATCTCTGACAAGTGCAAGGCAAGTTGAACTGGATTTACAATTTATCTGAGCAGTGACCTTGTCTACTATTATGTTTGACTATTTCCTGCCGAAGCACATTGTAAATTCCTTCATTGTCTGTCCTGTTAAAGTTTGTACAAAATCGGTCATTTCTCATTTTTCACATTTCAGGCTGCTGGGAAGGGGCTCAATGTTTGTGTTCTCCCCAGAACAATTTCAAAGACTGCTTAAAATAAATCCTGAATGGAAATCCCACAGACTGCTTGATTTAGGGGCTGGGGATGGAGAAGTCACTAAAGTCATGAGCCCTCACTTTGAAGAAATCTATGCCACTGAACTGTCTGAAACGATGATATGGCAGCTTCAGAAGAAGAAATACAGGTATGGCACCAAACACTTCCTACATCCTTTATATCAGACACTACAGCAAAGTGATCTATTTGTGATATTTAATGAACGTTCAGTATTTTCAGTCAGTTCCTTTACTGATTGCTATGGAAAAGGTTAATCTGTACAAAAGCAGGAAAACAAACACATCTGATGTTCCCTCTGGCCAGTGGTGTTTTTTGTCTCCTTTATTGCCTGATGATTGTAAGGCAGTATAAAGGTTCACAGGACTGGATATATAGCCATGCTGATCACTGATTTAGTTTTCTTTTCCAAAAGACCAGAAGGGATCCTGTCTGTCTCTTCTCATTGCCTGAGTGGCTGACCTTACCTGCAGAACCAGCACATCCACAGGGAATTTTTGTATTCAGTGGTTCTCTGAACTCAGCTCATTTTTAACAGACCATCTCTGTTTTTCTTTCCTTTTTTAGGGTGCTTGGTGTAAATGAATGGCAAAACACAGGATTTCAGTATGATGTTATCAGCTGTTTGAATTTGCTGGACCGCTGTGATCAACCACTGACTCTATTAAAGGATATTAGAAGTGTAGTGGAGCCAACCAAAGGCAGAGTCATTCTAGCACTGGTTCTGCCATTTCACCCCTATGTGGAAAATGGTAAGTACACAGATTAACAGTTATTTAGGCAGGTAAAGAAAACTTCTGTAGGATATAGCATTCCAAATTAAATGTTTAATAAATGGCATGCTCCTATTTGATTTTTTTGTGAATAACTTGCACGGGGCATATTCAGGAGTATGAAATCATAGGTAAATAGGCCACATGATGTAAGCTGCTTACTTAGTTCACCAGCATACATTGTTGGCACACACGAAAAGCTCAAATGTTGAAGTCACAGATCCTGTTCTGCAAGTTACCACATTGGAGTAACATGGGAAAACTGCTCTCTGATTAGGGCCCTTCAGCTCTAGGTAACCCCAGTTGTCTCGTGTGACCCACTAAGCAAAACTATCAGAACTAATGCTGAATAAAACAGCTCAGCTCAAACTGTTTCAAGTGTTCCAGGTGAATCCCACCTAAAAATTCATAGGGAGAAAACATTCACTTTCCAACATGAGCTCTCCAAGTAAAATATAGACCCCTCCTAATACAAAGTGTCAACCACTATTAATATTCTGTTAATTTATATTGTCCTAGTAACAGGCACAAAAAAGTAAAATTCAGTGCCAAGACTCGATTATTTCCCCTAATTGCATTTTAAAGAAATACATGAGAGATTTTCAAATGAACCTCTCCTTGTGATTTACCTTCAAAAGAGACTAGAAACTCTTCTTTTCATGTCTCTGATGGTGGATTCTAGTGGAGGCACCCTAAAGGTGGTTTGAATTCCAGAAGGCTGATATTCATCAGTCATTGTTTGGGTTCTGGTTCTTCTTGAGTATTAAGACTTGTCTGTGGAAAGGCATGGATGCCCAGAAAATACAGAACTAATAATGTTCTGGCAATCACAAATGCATCAAACTGAATCTGGTGTTCTCTTTTTATATGGCAGGGGGATTTTGGTGGGAGACGGGAGACAAAAGGGTTTAAGTAGGAAAAAATAGTACCATCAGATTAAGAAATAGTATATGAAGAATACTATAATATTTAAGCTTACAATTTTTGTAACTATTCTGAAAAGCAGTGTCTTAAATTGGATTGAGGGGTTCCCTTATGCACATGTACAGTATTTCAACAATATTTGGTCACAACCTGTTGTTCCTGTCACGTGGAACAACACGACTTCCTCCTGTAGAAATCCTTTAAAATTCTAAATACCAGCAGTGTCTTTCTAGTGTGTCACTGGTTTTTAGAAGCAGAAACTGAAAAATACTTCGGGTGGCTGTTTTGTTTGTGTGCCTTCAAAGCCTCAAAACACAAGAGTGTTTTGCAATCACTCCTGCACCTTCTTCTGTGCACGTTGTTGGGTAACCCTGTGGCAGATCATGCACAACCCCCTGGCTCCACAGGGAGTGTTAAGGAAGAAACTGTTCCAAGTCCCCTTGTATTGTACACTGGGAGGAGAATAGTGGTAAAATTTATAAATCCCAGGGGACTGGAAACCTGTTCTGTGATTGTTGAACTTAGGCATTCCTACTTGTTGAAAGCTGAAATACTGTTGTAAGGTGTTTTGTAAAGCCAAGTCGTATTTTATTCGTGGTGGTGACTTGTAGCAGATTAGTCACCTTGCTTAAGGCAGTTTTATTCCCATAATATGTTCTAGAAGTTAAAAACATGCTCAGTTTGTCTGTTTGCCATCTATTGTGGATGTGGACCCATATACACAATGCAAGTTAGCACAGACAAAAGTGACTGTCATTCCACAGATACTTTCCCACTTAAGATCTGTTTAACTGTAGTCTGAAGAAACAAGACACTGAACTGCCAAACTGTCTTCATGATGTACAAAACAACTGTAGAATTTCAATATTTTCGCTCAGCTGTTTCACTGGATGCATTTTAAAAAATTACAGATACGTACATATGCTTTATATTTAATGAAATTATACCTGGAACATTCAAAGAGGAGAGCATTTCATGGCTCGAGTAACTTCTTGTAGCAGCTAATTAAAACCAGCTTGGACCCACATAGAGAACCGTGAATTTTGTGGAGGGAGAACAAATGGAGAAGAGTTGGGGCAGGCAAGGTGTTCGATCAATGTAAAGGATCTGTTTCTAGAAATGGAGAAATGATTTAAATCAATACGAGATATTGGGGTTACTACATGTGGTGTAATGGGATGGTAATGGTGGAAACTGTCTGTGTGAATCACATAAAACTTGCTTTAATAGAACAAAGCAAGGTGGAGGAGGAAGTAAAATACAGATCTGGGCTTACTGTTTCTGGAATTACAGTGACACCTAGAGTCCAGAGTAGCTTCACTGTAAATTCTGTGCCTTCTCAGCATTATTTTCAACGTGCAGAACAGCAGTCATGCAATTATTGCACATACCTAAATTTGCCAAGAAAGCCTGGTGAGTCAGAAGGTGTTAGACCAGTCACATGAGAACAAGTATTACAGCTTTATAGTTTTGACAGGTATCTCAGAGGGTCATATAAGAATCCTTTGTATTTCCTAATGCAGACATAATATTTACATGAAAAGTCATTACTAGATAATGGATGAGTAGACTGGTTGAAATTTCTCTAAAATAAAATGTCAGAGATCCCACATTTCAGAAGTAGTGAACACTACCAGCCTGGGAGTGTGGAATTTTCTTCTTGAACACATCAATGTCCTTGTGATTGACTGACAGGGATGAGAAGGCAAAGGCGTGTTTTCCATCCTCCTGAAACATTTGCTGTTAAATGGAGCTGGAAACACCCAGTGCTGTGGGAGATGGACTCTTGCTTTGTCTCACTTGTCAGTTCTCATCTCGCTGAAGTGAGAAATGCCACTTCATTTGTTAAACAAAGCCTTGCTTTATTTAAACTATGGTAAAAGATGCAGCTGTTCTTTAGTAGGGAGGATGCCTGATCATAGCAGATATCTTGTAGAAGTGCTGATTTTGTAGATTGGCTGGGTGGAAAGAAAAGGTACTGTAAAAAAAGAAAAAATTATCCTGCCTTTGACAGGGTAATACAGTTCTGTTTTGTGCTTGTGTCTGTGTTGAACAGGCACAAAAAGGCAAAACTTGGTCAGGTAATCCTGACTTTGGATGGTGGGGCTGGAAGAGGGGGATTTTTTGTCCAACAAGTAAATTTTAGTATTATTTAATTATTTTCACAGTGACCAGTACTTTCCTTTCCTAGAGAGCCTAGGAAGAAACTCCCATCCCAAATGAGCTTTGCCATGATAGTATATGTGTTCATATTGTCATTTTTTTCTGCTTGCCTGTCTAATACACAGGGTTTGCTCTGTTAGGGCTCTGCAGCTGCTGGTCTGTCTATTTTACATCAGTAACTATCACATTAACAGGACTAAACCCAGAATTTCACCTATGAAACAAGTTTATTTTCTGTTGCTGTCAATTATCATACATCTTTCACAAATGCTCAATTCATATCAAAAGAATACATATAAGTTTAAGTAAAAAGGAAAAAAAAAAAACACATAGAATTAAACCTAAACTGAAAAAAGAAATTTTTCTGAAGCATCAGCAGTTGTCTCATGAGAGAGGGACCGTTTTCCCACAGTTCTCATTCCTGCAGCATGGACAGTGGACTCTGTAACACAGGGGTAATGCACAGTGCCCTGGGGTTTGGTGAGCTGTTCAGAAAATCCTCCTGAGGAAACCTTGCAGGGCAGAGCCCTTCACCTCCCTTTAAAGCAAAGGAGATCTGAGAAAAAGCTTCACTTCTTCAGCTGCCCCTTTGCTTGCACAGCAGACACTGACCAGGCCTGAAGTGCTGCACGTGCTCATCTGTTCTGGTAAACAGTGTCATCTTCCAGGTTATCCTGAAGGAAAAATGCAGAAGGATTTTCCGACTGATGTGATTTTTTTTTTATATAAAGGCAGAATTTATTTTTTGAGGCGAACCTCATCTTGGCAAAATACAAATTAATGGAAGTTTCATTTTTAAATGTCCATGCATATATTTTATAAGTTATATAGTATCATATATATATATATATATATATATATATATATATATATATATAAAATTGTCTATGTGTGGTCATTTATAATGCTTTTACAGTGTCTTTGACTGTTGTGCAGAATTCTTTTTTAGGCCTTTATCAACTTTAAAAAAGAAAAGTCTATTTCCAGAGGATATATGAAGGGTATACTCTCAAAAAATGTTGGTTCCCCATAAATTTTGGTATGGGTGGGTAGATACTTACAGGCTGTTGGCAGTGCTCAGCAAACCTGTGCTTTTGAAGTTCTTGGGCAATTGCTTGAAAAACTTTCCGTCCACTATTTATTTTCTGCAAATTATTAAAAGCATTTTAGATTATTGCAACGTTTTAAGTTGTGGGAAACATGTTTTTCTAGCTTTGATAAGTTCTGCATTTTTACCTGACTATGTCTTTTGGAGCATTACTAAATAACACTCTAAAAGTACATGGTTTGGCAGGCAGAAGGGTTATAAATTACATTACTATTGCATTACTTAACATACATAAGGAAAGGAAAGATATGTAAGAAAACAAACCTTCTTTAATGGGTATTTAAATGTATGGCTTCAGGTTTATTACTCAAGGATACATGGGGACAGAGATTCTTAATAGAATTGTTTTAAATACTTCTTTAAATGGATTATTTAAAGAAACAAAAAATTATTAGCAACATCTTTTCAGAAGCTTGAACAAAATTTACTTAAAACCTATGTGGTAGAGATGGCCTTTACACACATTAACTTTATCCTGTATCCAGTGTGTTAAAAATGAATCAACTAATTAGTTAAAATCAGTTAAATATAAGCTCGTAACTAGTTTTGTACAAATCTAAAGTGAAGCCTGAAGAGCTTTGAATGTCTCTTTAGCAGAATCATCAATTAATCACAAATTTGATGCCCAATATACTTTTAAAAGACAGAAAGAAGCAGCTCTGAATGACAGACAGGGCAAAGGAAGTGGTAACATACACAGTTCTCTGGTCTTCCACTTTTCTTTAGCAGCTTTGGTTTTAACTGGAGGGAAAAGAAAAACCAATTAAAACAGAAGAAGGGAAGCAAGCAGAACAGTTAAAAGTGTTGCCCTTCTACAATGTCAGTTTGTAGATTCATTAGATCAGTTTGTGTCATTGTAAAAATCAGACATTTTTGCCTGTGTGAGGCCTTTTTTAGCTTCTGGTAGTGGATACTGCAAGTATTTTTGCTTTGAGTACAGTGGGACCTGCCTGAGACACAACTTTATTTTGACAGGAAATTCAAATTATTTTCCTTTTACTGGAAATTAATCCAGAGAATTGATGACTTACAATGGAAATTCCTAGTTTTGCTTTTTGAGTGTGTTGATAATCTCCTGATTAATACTCTCAGGGTAACTGTAACTTCAGAATACCATTTCTTTTAGACACTTCCCTGAAAAAAGAAAATGTGGTTGCTGTTGAGTCCAGGCCTGTGCCACACAAAAGTTCCTAAACGTGTGCAGCACATGAACTTCAACCAGCCACCTCTTTAAAACAACCATAAACGTTATGAAATCCGGGAAGGTGTTTTTAATCTCCTTATGGAGAGGTTAAAACTGCACAGATTTGCAAAATGAAGATCAGAAATACCCTCCTGAGCCTACCTTGTAGACCGCAAAGAAGGTGAACACAGCAGAGCTGTACACGAACAGCAGGGCTGAGATGATGGTCATGGAGGTGAAGGCGAGTTTCCCACTGCTCTGCTGTGCTCCTGCTCCATTATTAAAAGTGAGTGTTAGAATAAAGGACAGTTCTTCTGATTCACATCATTTTCTTAAAGTTCTGCATTCCACCCCCCTTCCTCTGAGCAATTAAAAAACCTGACACTCATCAATATTTTTCTGGGTCATTTTTGGTCTAAATTCCTCAGTGAGATCATTTTGTTTCCCCAGATTTTGCAAGGGCAGTGGAGAACCTGTTAGTTTTGATTATGAACCCTTTCTTTAGGGGTAGAGAGAGAATGGAATCCAGTTTTCTGCTCTTGTAGAGGTACCTCTGAGTAAAGCTCACAGACTTCTGTTCTGGAATTGTATTTTAGCATGCAAAAGGTTTAGAACTGAAACCTTTGTCTCAGGTTGATACAGTGAACCCCTGGGCCAGACCCTGCTCTCTGCTGCACGTATGGTTGCTAAATATGTGTTTCTGTACTTCCCATTTTTTCTGTTGGTACTTCCCTTCTGATTTTCATTAAAGCCCTTATGTAAGAGGCTGTAGAGCATGGTTAGGCAGCAGCAGTACAAAACTTCTTTCTTTTGTGGAGTTCTGGTCATTTGCATCCTGTGACAGAACAGTCTTAATTAGCAAACGAGGCTGAGATGCTTATTTGTAGAATGGTTTTCCTATTAACATTTTAATGTAGTCACACTACTCCTAACGGGTTTGTTGGTATTTCCATCTTAAATGTCATTCTTGAAAGTAGAAATAGAGTGTTTAGAAAAGGTAATTTGTGTCTTCTAAGAAGCTTTGTTAAGAGGGAATGAACAACTGACCTGTTTTCATCAGTACTGTTCCATCTCCTGTTTGTTTGGAACGGGGTGAATGTGAATCTGAGAAGGCAATTCCACAGATATAAACAGCACTGTCTTCTACAGTCAGGTTTTTGATCTCAAGTGAAGTGCTGCTTTCTGATAAATGTACTTTGTACTTCTGCTGGTCTGCGCATCCAGGAGTGCACAAATCCTGATGTGTGTTGGTTAAAAAGCGAAACCACAGAACTTCAAGTGGGGACTGGGAGCATCCAGAGGCAGAGAAAGCACATGTTAGGACCACACTGTCCGTGGAGGAATCAGCTTCCTGAACTCTGGGCTGTGTTACAGTGACTTGGCAGTTGTCTGGAACACCTGTTGAGAGGGAGCGATTGGTGATGTGAGGGACAGTTAAAGAGCAAGGTACAATCTGCAGTACAGAGCATTTCTGCAGGGCTTTCTCTCTCCACTGTTCCTGATCCGAGTCAAGCAAGGCAACCTGATGGCAGGCAGTGGAAATGTCATAAACTGAGGCATTTATAATTTAGCAACTTCATAACATTGATTAGAATTCACAATAGTTCCTAGATATTCTTCCACTTCATCACATATATTGACTCTGGATTTCTAAGGATAATAATAGTACTTGTTAGTTCTGACATTTAAAGATATGTGCAGAGAAAACAGGAAGGTTAATCAGAGAATTCTAATTAAGGAACTGAAAGGTAAGGTTTAATATGACTGATCTGGGAGATTTTTTTTTTTTAAGTCCTTATTGAAATCCATAATGTAAATACTGTTTCAGTATATTTAAATTTTATTCAAATAAATGGCATAGTTATTTGATAAGATTATTGCACTGAAAATGAAGGTAGTAGCTTCACAGCATCCTTTTCTATATCTGTCTGTGGTGAGCAGTCAGCATTGGCCCTTCATCATTTTGCTCACCGAATCCAGGCAGATTCAGCGTCTGTGACTTGTACAGGAATAAAGTGAAACTCTCATTCTGTGTCAGATCAACATCAGAGCCATTCCCCAGCAATCTGCAGATTGTAACAATGTAAGTTGTGGGTGTCCTTGCTCGCTGTGTGGTGAAAGGCAGCACCTTGTGCTTCTGCAGTTGATCCCCTCCCCTCTTCCACCTTAGCCAGGGCTCTGGTGGCTTTGCAGGGCAGGACTCCGTGGCCTCAGGTCCTGTAGGCACTGCCTGCTGAGCTCCCCAAACCCTCCTCCTGTAGGCACTGAGCTCCCCAAACCCTCCTCCCAAAGCAGCACAGTTACACCGAGGTCAGGCTGCTGCTGGAGTGTTCTGAGCAGGGAAGGACAGTAAGGTTTGACTCAGAAATCGCAGCTTACGTGAGCATTTCAGAGTTTTGCAAGAAAAGGCGTTTGCTAGCAGTTGTTTAACTTGGAAGTTGTGTGAAGATAGTAGAAATTAACTTGATTCACAGAGGAACTTTTCACTGCTCTTATTTTATAGCTCTATTGCAAATCGTCACCACAAAATTCTCAGTCTTGTTTAACTGCTGTTACATGAGAAAATGTAAGAAATTTAAAAGAGGTCTTACCAGCACTGTACAGAATCCAGTCAAACGCCAGCACTAGCACATTTTTTAGTTTGTTGAAAGGTGCCATTTCTTGTATCTCTCTGGAAATGATTCTGCTTGAAGGAAGAGGAACTTAGGAAATGTTTGGAGTTGCAGAACTGTCTGAATCACAAGATGTAGAACTTCCTGTTTAGAAGGGTGTTTACTCCTGCATTTAGCAGGCTGGTTAAAAACAGAACAAACCAGAAAGCTTTTGGGTGTTGTGCATGACACTGCTCGAAAAATGAGGGAAGAATTTGAAATTTTGAACTTCAGAGAGTCATACCTATAATCCTTCAGATTGTTTCATTGGATATAACCAGTAGCATGTTCTCCAGCATGGTGGAAGGTGCTTGGCTTTTTTATAGCTGTGACCCTCAGCAGTCCCTACCGTGTCAGCTGGTAGGTGGCCACTGGAGGCACAAAGATTCTGTAGCCATCCACTGTCATGTGGAGGAAGCTTCTCAGCCAGTCATCATTTTCAACTTGCTGATTCTGTTTACTGTAATTACCTGCAGCCATCTTAGGCCAGACAGTGGGCATAAGGAATGTTACAGAGGTGGAAAATAGCATTATTAAATTGTTTGTCCATGTCTGCTGAACACCAGCCTCGGCAGTGGAAGGTACCTTTTAGCCACTCTTGGAACTGTTAGTTAAAGATTTAACAAAAGATAACCTTGAGAAGCTGCTGCTTTTGTACACCAGGAAAAAAACTTGAACTGATCTTGCAACAGGTCTACAAGTGGCTTGTCAGCCTCCTGTGTGGAGTGGCGTGGAACATAATCAGTGTAATTATGCTTTCTGTAAGAAAACACAACACTGTCAAGTTTGCTTTATGACTGAAACAAAACTGTTCTGTTTCCTCAGTAGGTGGCAAGTGGGAAAAGCCCTCCGAAGTTTTGGAAATCAAAGGGCAGACTTGGGAAGAGCAGGTGAACAGCCTGCCAGAAGTTTTCAGCAAAGCTGGTTTTGCCATCGAGGCTTTCACCAGACTGCCATACCTTTGCGAGGGGGACATGTACAATGACTACTACGTGCTGGACGACGCTGTCTTCGTCCTCAAGCCAGTGTAAGGTGTCTGAAGGAAACCCCCAGAATCTAACCCGAGGAGCAGCAGCCTCTGAAAGAGGGTTTTGATTTATGGTTACTTAAAGGGAGGGAATTTTTGGGATTGCCGTGCTAAATGAATACCGTGTAAGAAATTTAAAGGCCAAAATACTAATGTATTTCTTTGTAGTGTGATTGGGGGGGGGGGGGGAAAGGTTGTTTTTTAAACAGACTCCTCCATTGAGAATTTCTTTTTTACCTGCTCTTAAACCAACAATGCATTCTGCAATCCAGCAGCAATGGGGGATATTTTTTTATATTTACCTGCAACAGGGATCAGATCCAAACAAAAGCAATATTCCTAATAATGGTGAAACTGATACAGTGTGAACTGTTAAAGAAATCAAGCAAAATCTGGCAATAAAGTTACCCATTCAGTTCCAGCCTTGTTGAATAAAAACTGTTAAAATGGATATTCTTCCATGCTAAGTTACTTTCTTACTGTCATTCTTCACGTTTTTAATCATGCTAATAAACTTTTTTGAGATGACTTTTGCATTAACTTTTGTGTTCTTTTTTGTAACCACAGCCACACTTACCTGCAGCAACTGCTCTTTGTGTTGAGAAGCAAGTTTTCAGCAGCAGCCCATTTGATTATTGTTTGAAGGGATAACAGTCCACAAAAAATGTCTCACTTTTGGTTGGGTTTCCTTTATGTTCCTCTCAAAGCCTCATGAATTCTCACTGCTTTTGCATGTGCCATCTCCCAGCTAAAGGTGGGGGTTATGGTAGGACTTGCCAAAACTGCACTTTAAAAGGGTGGGTTTAATAACGAGCTCTCTAAGCAAGTTGTTCCCAATTGTTTTCAGCTCTAAAAACTTGCAGGCAGTTTCTTTTGAGTTCTGTGAGTCCAGCTGCCTCTGAGGATCAGGCCCTGGGGACTTGATTGTGAGGGTTTTGCTAGCTTGAGACATTTTCTTCAGGAGCACTAAACAAATGCTGGTTTTTTAACATGTCTTGTTTTAAAAAACTGTTTAAAGTGGATAATTTCTGGCAGTTGGGATACAAAAAAGCAGCAGCAGAAATAGTGCCGAACTGGCAGCTGTGTGTCTTGCTTGGGCTGTAAGTGTGAGAGAGCAGAGAAACCTCAGCTTTTATATCATCTGGTAAGTAAAGTAAGAACTGATTTATATTGCTTTTGAAGTCCAAAAAAGTTGTGTGTTGGCGTTTTTATAATTACTGGTGATCTTATGCCAGGTGGGATGCCATGAATGTGTCATTTTAGGTTTACCTTGGGCTGGCTTTGCCTGATGGTTGATGATTTCTCTTGCCTTTTATTCTCGGTCATCTTTGTGGAGTAGTGAGTATTCTGTAGGATATGGTGAGGTGGTTGATTTGGTGGGGTTTTTCAACAGTAATTCAGACTCAGTGTTGTTCTCATTTCAGGATGTGCTGTTGAATTTTTGCACATAGCACAAGGAGATTTGTCTGTTGGGAAAATGAGCTATGTATGCTCTGGAGTGAATCCATTAAATTATCTTCTGTTCATCTTGTACTCATCTGGTAGTGGGAAAATGTTTTTTACTGTGTAATGAATTTAGCTTAAAGTAGCAGATATGTGTTAAGACAAACTTCTTAAAAGGTACTTAAGTGCTTTAATCCCACTGGTTAAAAATCACCCAAGGGACTGCGTTTCATGTCTCTCATCTCTTAGTCCTGTCACTTAGAATTTCAGTTTGTAATAGCTTTGAGAAGTTTTGGGACAGAAGGCACAATATAAATAATAGGTTTTTGTTTTATTCCTTCCTATGATCTACTTTGTTCACTTTATTTAAACAAGTATTGTTACACTTGAGATGGGGAATTAAAACACGAGCATTAATGGGAAAAAGCTTTCTACGAGTAAGCCTAAATTCAGCAGGGTGGAAAACCTGCTTAGTCCTGTTGAATAAACAGAATATCTCTGAGGGGACTGTACTTACACCTGAATTTCTAAAGCCAGAGTTCCTTGTGAGGGAAGGAGAGCAGTGCAGCTCAATGAGTCAGGAAAGGGGCTTCCTTCTCCTTTCAGCCTTCAGAGAGCATTTGTGTGCAGTTTGTACCTGCTCACAGCCCAAGAAACTCGAGTCCAGTTGTTCCTTAAATTCCCTGAAATACTTAGGATGTCATCTAAGGGGACAAGTGTTGCAGTTCCAGTGCCCAAATTCATTACTCCCAGGTTTGGAAGTCCCGCCTTGTCCCAGTGCTGTTCCTGTCCTGCTGTGGGAGACAAGTGTGCAGGTTGCATTTGATGATCTCACTAACGTGTAGTGGTTTGCCCTGCAGAGTAACTAAGCTGTGTGTTCTGTCAGGGTGGCCCTGGATGTGCTGCATCGCAGGAAGAAGATGCTGTGCAAGGGTGTGATTAAGCCAGAAACTTCCAACACAAAGTTAGAACGAGTTGGTCTCCCGACACCGCAGCCCCCTCTTGCTGGGCGCTCCCAGATCCGTTCCCGTTCCGCTCTGAGGAGCCCCCTGCCCGTGCCTGGGGTGGGGAGATGGGGGAGAGGGGCAGCACCAGCCCAGCCCTGAATATCCCTACACAGCAACCTGAGGTCTCTTCATCTCGGGAGGGGAAACATCCTCCCCTGCCTGCCGTGGGAGTCCCTGGCCCTCTGAGCCCCCCTCAGAGGAGGTGTTTGCCCTCCCCTCTGGCTGAGGGCCGGTGCTGCTGGGCAGACAGCGGGGCGGTGCTGGCCCCTGTCCCTGCCCCTGCCCAGGGTCCCTGCCCGGAGCCGCCCAGCTCTCGGCACTGCGGGTGCCGGGAAGGAGAGCGCACGGCAGAGGCAGGTAAAGTGCTCCGGAGTCCCGGCTCTCCCCGAGAACCCACAGTCTCCTTCTCTTCTGCCCTCCCGTCTCTCCCTTTCCAGCCTGGACCCCTCGCGGGTTCCCTCGCTGCGTGTGGGGCTTTTGGTCAGAGATGCTGCGAGCCCGGGTGCGGGGGTGGGCACTGCCAGTGCAAGGGCTTATCAGCAAGACTTGTGATGATGAGGTCAGCTTTCTGGTTATCCCGCTTCAGATAAGGCAGCAACTGCATCGGAGAGGGCGATAAAATGTCTAGGATTTCTGTACATGGAAGAGCGGCTGTTTAGGGAGCAAGAGGAGAAGGCGGTCTGGGAGCTCCTTAAGGGTGACTTGTCAGAGATCTGATCACAGCATAAGCAAGGAACAGTCTCTGGGGAAATGCAGGATAGGATCTGCAAGAGATGCCCATGGACTGATTTGGGATTGTCTGAAAGCTGCAGTCAACCAAAAACAGACTTAGTTTCACTGACAAAAGGAACTATTTCCCACAGGTTGTCTTGCCAAGCAGGGCTATTTCACAGCAAGACTTTTTCTGCACCTGCTGATTGTCTGCCTGAATTAGGGTGAAAAAGCACTTCCCTCAGTATTTTATCTCCTTATATATTGAGTTAGCATGCTTTAATTAAATTACACTCCCTGATCAAATTGAACGAATTGGAATAAATCAGGACTGACATTGGAAGCATGATTTAAACTAGGCAGAGTAATCAAACCTTGCTGCAAAATTAATAGGGCAAAGGCAGAAACAAACACAAGTAAGTTCATTGTCTAGGAAACCAGATATATCTGAATGAGAGACATGTACTGTGGTGCTCCCAAAAGAATAGCTGAAAAGGGTTTCCGTGTGTGTAAAAACAAGACAGAGGCGATAGTTCTTAAAGTCTAATGTTTAAATTTTTCATCATCTGTCAGTTTGAGTCACTTCTGTTACAAGACTGGAGTTAAGTATTTGCAATAGACTGAAGTATTGCTGGAGGCTGTTGAAAGAGGTTTTCATAAAAGAGTACCTTGATACATGAGATTAAACAATCCAAGAAAGGAGTTCATATTTATCAAATGTTCAGATCTGTAACTCAAGCTCTGGCAGAGAACTTTGAAAAAAAAAGAAAAAAAGAGAGCGAGAATGGATCCAAATCCAGCAACAAAAGGAAATGCAGAAATTCGGTGTGTTGCAGATAAACCTTTGAAATGAGGGAAAGGGAGAGAAAACCGAACAAAGTCATCTCAGGGTCAGAGCCAAGTTGGCCAGTGGGGCCCTGTTTGTCATTTGTTTAAGTCAGTGACGAATCCCAGTGTAAGGAGCTGCGATCTGTGGAGCTGGGCATCATCCAATATTGGATTAATCAATGGTTTTACCTGTGGGGATGGTGACTCGGGGCTGAGCAGAGGGCCAGGCTGAGGGGGCAGAGGCAGAAGATCCTCAGTGCAGTGTGGATCAAAGCAGCTCATGGGCAGAGGGGCTGTGGCTGTGAGCGAGACCTGCTCAGCCTCAGCTTCCTTCCCATCCCGCAG